TTAGGAATACCCTTAACAGAGAGAACAAACTCCTGGAAATGTTACATTGATTTTGTGCAGATGCTGAAAGCATATAATAAAATTTGCCGTTGCAAGCTCTCCGACATCACTTTTCCTGGCATGCTCGGTGGTTGACCAACATAGCTTTAAGAGCATTTTTATCCAGAAAAAACAATATCATAATCTAATAGATATGATTCATTAAAAAATTCATCACAATTCTTTAAAAAAATTTTGAAATACTAAGAATTTTTTGAGATGAAATGATTCCAATGACAACACTTGTTGCCACTATTACTGTTATTGTCATTGTCATTATTATCACTATTATTATCATTATTACTACTATTGTTAGTGCTGTTATTATATTTCTTATTGTCATTATTATTATTGATATTATTATCGTTATTGTTGTTGTTGCTATTATTATTATTATTATTATTATTATTATTATTATTATTATTATTGTTATTATTATTATTGCGAATAGCCTAAAAAAGAAGTTGATGGCATGATTGTTTTTTACAACGCTGGAAAGCAATTCAAATACAATCAGTTAAAAAAATCTCGAGATGAAAGGATTTCAGTGACAACATTATACATGTTACTACTTTTACTACTATTATCATTATTGATAATAACAGCATTATTATTACCTACTAGGAGACAAGTAGCTGTTTCAAGTACCAAGTAAGTATTATTATTATTGTTATAATCGTTTTAAATAATGCCATCAATATTATTAATTTTGTTGTTACTAGTAATCTATTATTAAGACTTTTTCTTAAAAATGCAGTTTGAAACTCGAACCTGTGACTGTTGTGACGCAGTAAACTAGAAGAAAAAACAGTAGGCAGGAAGAATAAAAACTGTTAAGCAGCCTGGCGAGAGGCAGTTGCATAATTGTTGTGGCCGTCGAAGAGACGGCCAGCCGACTCCTTTGACCAGCCAAGCAGAGGCCCAAAATCGATGTGCTCGGGCCTAGCCCTGCGTACACGTCCGCTATGCCAGTGCACTGCTGCTGCTGCTGCTGGCTGGAGCAGTGTTTTTGATATATAAATTTAAGAAGTCTATTGAAATGTGCACGCATTCATGGATGCTTTCTTATCCTCGCAATGCATCTCACTTTCGCTGGATCTCCAGCCCGGCCGGCGCCATAACAAACAAACACACAGACAGACGTACACGCACACAGACACACACACACACACAAACAAACACAAAGAGCACTGGTAATCCAGCCCAGAACATGATATCCACTCAGGGCAGCTCATTTTAGCGCCAGGCTCAATTTATTTACAGTTATAATATTCCACCCACAACTAATACGCAAACAACAGCTGCTGCCTGCGGAGTATGTCGGAGAATCTTAGTAGCATCACTAGCTAACACTGATTGCTCTAGCGGTCTTCTCGGTATTCCGGGTATCTGCTGTGTAGTATGTTAGCTGTTTTGCAGCGAAAATAACACCTTGCGTATTTTTGCTTGCATAAACAATTTGTCATAAGGTTGATCGTTGCGGTCGGAAACTGCCTGTCACTTCGACAACAGGCCCAAAATCCGATTTCTCTTTCGGCACACCAACAGACTGATCACTCCGAGCAATGCAGCATTGGTCAAAGGAACTGGAAAAGCTGTCAATTGTATGAATTGAGCGAGCATATTATAAAGTAAGAGCTGTTCCAGGTATCCATTTAAAATGTGTGTTTCTGAAATTGGTTTTTAAAACAAATGCCCTCAGAGAAATAATCTAAAATTCTTTCCTTTCTTTGAAAAAAAAAAAGCATTGAGAAAGGAGGCAAAATCCGTGGTCTTTTATTTTGGATTAAACAATTTCTATGCTCAGCGTACATCAGACATTAGTACTCACGCTCTGCACTATCCGTCTCCACTTGCTTGCCAAAAATAAGGGACCCGGGCTTTTATTCCACTTTCTCGGTCCTATAGGCTTTTGTTCCAGTTTCTTGCGCCTAGGCCTTTTGTTACACTTGCCTGGCTATCATAAAAAGCAGTCCTTAAAGGAGCAGTGAATAGAGCAATCAAACAAATTTATGGTTTCTTGTTGCTTGGAAGACTAAAGCTGCTGCTGCTGCAGCTGCAACAGCCACTTGGGGATTCGCTTCAACGCCAGCAAAATGTCCCTCTCCCTCAACACCCCTCATCTGCCCGGTTAATCCTTTCATCCTCATCCCAAACAAATGGATTTCTAAAATGCATCACCAAAAGAATGGGAAAGATAATCCATCCCTCACATTCCAAAATACTTCTCCTAGCCCATCATCGTATTTAAGTGCTCGTCGATAGAAATTATAACCAGGATGTGGACTTATTCAGTCTGAATTCGCAAACTGAGCAATTTTGCGAGGGTGCCAGCGCTGAGAATGCGCAAAAGCACAGGTACTTTCGAAAATGGAAAGCCATAATTAGTACCAAGAATACCAGTACTGCCTGGTTACCACTGGGATTTATCGCCATGCTAATGAGATGTAGTTATGGTTCCAAGCAATAATGTATGCGATTTAATAGACAAATTCCTCTTTTAATTTTATTCCAATTTGCCTGCTCTTTTTAGTGTTTACTGAATTTGAAACCTTTAAGTTCAGCATGGACAAGAGACACCCCTTAAAATTACAGCTTTCAAGCTTTTTTGGCTCCCGGGTTAGCAGTCTTCCTGCCAAAAATTTCTACGGGCTCGTACGTGAGCCCTCTCAGCAGCAAATTTCGGCTACTCTGTTGCATTGCCTTAGCTCTTTTCCAAGCTACCATATGTGATATTACAAGGATGCTCCAATACAACTAGCTATATAAAATGCCTTTGATAACTGTGTGCATATTTTGAGTTAATACCCACTGCCTGTCCAAATCACATTTATGGTAATTCTTACTCGAAAGAAAGCCCTTCTGATGTGCGTCATGTCTTGCTAAAATTGCAGTATTTCACTGGAGATGTGTTGCAATTTACTGACACAAAATACCACATTTCGTCCCGTGCATCGATCCTTTTATGCATCTATTTAATGTTATAAATAATAAACGTTGCAGACAAAGCGAACAATCTTGCATCCCAAAAACTAATATCGTAGTGAACAATCAGATCCATCACACAGAAAATTGGTCAGTTTTTTTTAGCTGGGCTACGTCACTTTTCACCCCATCATAATCCGTTTATGGTATTTTACTTATTTACTTGCTCAAATAAATTGAAACCTGAAAACATGAACAGGAAGATCCAGTGCGTCCTCGTAGAAACAAAGAAAACTGGTTTATTGCGCAGAGAAATTCACACAGAAAAAAAGAACGGTTAAATTAAACTATTATTTCAAAACAAAACATGCGCAACAAGACTGATCGTTCTCTAGAAAAATGTTCTTTGTGATACAGCAGCTGCTTCTTGGAGTACTGCCTTTTACTGAAGAGCCATAAAAATACAAATCCACGATTTGCAACGCATAAATTGATTAATAACATAAATTTTTTGTCAAATAAATCTTCATTTTATTATATTGCCGAAGCGTGTAGAGAAGTAATAACGCCGGTCGAGAATTGGACCCTTGCCAATGGAACAACCAAACCCTGTACAATTCGTTCATTCATTTCGATGGCAAACTGGTACTGGTACAAACCAAAGAATCGTCATCAGCTTGCTTCTAAGTAAAAACCGAAAGAGAAAGCTATCCGAAATTATGCCATCAACAGTTGATGCTAGCGTGTGCTACCACTGAGGTTATTTCCAATTAACATCGCCTGTCGTATGGATGGAATTGTAGAGGGGGATTTCTTGCTGTTATTCATAAAAAGTCAGGAGATGTTCAGAACAGTGATGCGGCGAATTGGAACGAAACAGAGATCAACAACATAGATATTATATTCGGCTGAATATACATAAAGTTCAAATGCAGTAAGCATATTTCTGTGAAAATCAATTCTGAAACATATGACTGAAACATGAAATATGCGAAATTTTTGTGAGAAAAAAAAGACTAAGAAAGAAAGAAATTTATGAGCACGTAATAGTCTTCCGAAAGATGCTTTTACATGATAAACTGCATAAGATTTTTTTTTTCCTCATTTATTTATTATCTTTTGAAAACCACGATTTTTTTAGGCATGAAAAATTGAGATATTCAAGTTTCGCACAAGAGTTTTCATCCAAAAATGATAACATAAAAATGCTAATTCATGGGAAAAAAGAATGAATTTTTCATACCTGCTTTCTTTTGCAGCTACAATTATTCCCTTATTGTAAGATACTGAATAAGAATTGATGGAGTTTATGGCTGAAGACGAAGAGATTGGGTAGAATTGGGTGAAGACGGGAAAAATAGCTGTGATACTGGACATTTCGGAGAACCAACAGCTTCTTTGCAGACGTTTTAACAGTTTAAATACAACAACATTAAATGAAAGTTACATTTAAAGGCGATATGTGATGCTTTCGGGAAAGAAAATGGTAGCAACATAAGGTGACAGGAAAAAAAAAAACACGAAAGAACTTTAATATCCAAATGAACGCACATAGATCAGTTCCAAAGAAAGAAAACAATGATTTAAAAATGCGTAC